TTGGAGGGGTTCGAAAAGGTTGTTTGTCATGAGGTGGTTATGTAACTGAAGTGTGACAGTAGAAAATGCAAAGTAAAATGAACATACTTTCATTTGAACATACTTGTTTCAAATACTGAAAACCTAAAACATGTCCAGCACGGTCACTATTCCTCCTTTTATGTCCAGTCAAACTGGAATTGTCAGTTATCTCTTTAAGTCTCAGCACACAGAAAAGATTCCTATACTGACCCTCTCAGCTGCCAACCCGCCATGCATTGCTTTACACATTGAAATGTGGTGGCGCACCTCTCCCTGACATCACTGCAAGCCTGCTGACACTCAGAAAGTTTCTGGAGGTGCTGGTTCATGGAAAAGAAAAACAGTCCTGGCCCGGCTATACCAATCCAGTCCCTAGCAGTGTGCTGTCAGTTGTGCCATTAAGGGAATCCCAGTCACAGATAGCTCGTCTTGTAAAAGGACCAAGGTTCAGATTCTCCAAAACTGGCTCATAGAGATCAAATGTCTCTAGCTGCTGCATTTCTCAACACTTAACTAAGCTCAGTTCAAGAGGTTCGAAAACAATTCAAAAGGGTTTAAATTTGTTAAAACAAGCTGGAGCTTTTTGGACTGTATTTCTGAAGATGCTTTCACAGTGTACCTGATGCAAAGCCAGGCCCACGCCTGCCACGGCCTCTGCTGCCATACGGCTTCCCCCCTCGGGAGGGCCCCACCCCGGGCCCGTCATCGCTGACAAAGCCCTTGTCCTTATCTGAGCGGCCAGCCTGGGGCCTCGACCCCCCTCCGATCTGCCGGAGTTGCTCATCAATCTGCAATCTCTCCAGACGAAGCTGATCCACCTCCTGAAGCACAATATAATGTGGGTCACATTCTGTTTCTATTAAGCCACAAGCACTTGCTGTCATTATCCTTTACCCAGTCAAAATCCAAATGCATGAACTCAGATGCCATAAACAAATAACAGCTTATGACTTTAATACAGCTTGTTAAAGTTCAAATCTGACAAACTTAAACTTCCTAATGAAATACATTCTCTCTAATCACCCACTTGCTAACCCTTAAAACAGTCTTGATATGACATAAAACAAACAGGAGGCAGAGAAGACACACACCAATGATTATAAATGAGAGAAGGCCATTCAGCTCAGCTAACTTGTAACTATCTTTAAATGAGATAAAGATCTCCTTCAGCCTCATTCTACCTCACCTTTAAGTAATTGAGGTGATAGTCCAGCAGCACTCGGGCATTTGAAATACTTTCCTTTGTTCCAACAAACACGAATGGCACCATACCTTGCTTTGACGGAAAGAAAAGATTAAGATAGAATGAAAAAGTATATTCCACAATTAACCTGGTAATAGACAGTATTAGAGAAAAAACATGATTCACATAGACACCACCACCCAGTTCATTCTAGATTATAACACTTAAGACAAAAACCACCCCACCGCATTAAAATTAACTAAAAGATTCTAACACAACAATATAGGGAATTACTTATTATTCAGAACCACAGAAAGGAACATACTTTAAGAAATTTTTATTTAGATGCATAGATACATTCGATACGCCAAATCAAATACAGAAGGGTCTCGACATTCACCAGAGCTCTGGCAGAGAACCGTCACAAATTTGCAAATTCGCTTATAACCAAGTCCACCCCTATACTGTCACATAATGTACTATAACACATAGTATGTACAGTTAAAAGTCATGTAGACTAGGATAACTTATGCCAATTAAAGTACTAATGCATTTGCTTCACCATAATTCAAATAATGATAAACTAAATGAAACGGCAGTAATCAAACTTAATAGCAGTCAGCTAAAATAAACATGAATCCCTCCTCTGCGTCCAGGGGACGCTTGTGGCTTCAATCTCTGCCTCCATGTTCAGCACAACCTGTAATAAAACAAGCAGACTGACAGAGAGCCTGCAAAGTCATCGCCTGCATGTCATTCCCTCACGCAGCTGACACAGAGTCTGTTCTGTACAATATAAAAACAAGAGCACGTTCAGATGCAGATCGTGGGTAAAGGGTTCTTAATCAGGGAGACGTGCAATCACTAGATAAAATCATCTCGTGATCCTAGTCTGTTGTGCCACAGTTCGATTTCATCCTCGACCCCGCTGGCCAGATGGAAATGCAGATAAGTGAACTTGCGAATGTTAAATTCTCAGATGTCGAGATCCTTCTGTGTGTTGGGCAGATGTAGCTCAACATTTCCATGTAAAAACCACTCACCTCGTCCTGTGGGTTCTTTCTGTCATTCTCAGCCTCAATTCGGACTCGGACAACACCAGATTTATCCACAACCTCCTGAATAAGTTTTCCGTTTTTTCCAATAACTTTACCTAATTAACATAAACCATGAGAAAATATTTTGTTAAAAGAGCCACTAGAATGCATAATTAGAAAAGTCAAGTTGTATACAGTTTAATTCTCCACTACTTACCTACTAAATTCCTTGGTACTTTTATTACATCTTCAGAAAACTCAAGGTAACTGCGAGCTTTCCTCACTGCTTCCTGGTCCTAGAAACAAAATGTACTTAAAAATTTAAAAAGAAGGAAAAATACACTTGACATAATTTAAAGCAAATATCATGCGCAACTAAATGAACTCAATAGTTAAGTCAGTTTGTAAATTTTGCAAATGTGTTTTTTAGCATGCTATGTTCTGAAACAATAGTAAAAATATACCTTCCAGCCCCAGAAACTGAATGCACCAAATTATACTTTATTTTATGTTTTTTGAACAGTAAGTCATATTATAAAAATAACCCCACATCAAATATTTACATTCAATTTCTCTTAGAATTCATTTCAAAATTAAATATCACCTTTGCTCCTTCAACACCTCTTGTTTTACATGAGGTGAGGCAATGAAGACAAGAAGCGACGACCCTGAAGCGAAAACCATGTCATATTGAGCACTGAAGATGTTCTATCACAATCCATGTACTAACAAGTAGTTATAGTCATTCTGCCACTATCGGATTGAACATTAATATCTATGTGGATATCTTTTATTTTGGAAACCGCAAAGAAACAGATTACAAATGGGGATTTTCCTCGAGCTTGCCTCTCCGTAGATGTGGAAAGTGCAGGTTTCTTCATCAAGGTCGATGGTAGTCACTCCAGGCACCTTCCTTGCCTGCTGGATGTTGGCACCATGAGTGCCAATGGCCAAGCCCATCAGGTCTTCCCGCACAACAAACTGCTCATGGAAACGGGAGGCCAGCTGCCGGGAACTCTGTATAAAACCAATCGGACAGAGACTTCACTTCGCTTGTTTACAATGCAATCAACGTGGTCTTCTGAAAACCATTTTACCTTTTCGATTCCCAAAAAAAAAAATGCCATGATTTTAAAGCCTGGATTAAATGTCAACCCCTGGCCTCTTGCAAATGAGAGGCTGCCGCCTAGTGGTAGGTATGCAGCTAAAAAGTGTTTATGGCCTTAACTAGTGACAAGTCAATATTCTAATGACAATATACCATTGCCAGCAAAACTCACTCACTTCTAGCTGCCTGCTGGCTTCTTCGTTCCTCAACATCAGAGATAACTTGGTGCGCAGACTTCTGAAGTGCATATCGCTCAGCATGGTTGCTCTCTTTGCTGTTACTTCGTTGATAGACTATGGAACCCAGAAGAGAAGCACACCGTGGAATGAGAAGCAGACCACAATGAAAGGAAAGCACTGTTAAAGATTTAAGCAAAAGCATCTATCAAACCTACTTACCAAAATAACTAACTGGTTTTTGTCTGAATCGTATGTCACATTAAATGCTCCAACAGCCTTTTTGAAATCTTTGTGTGCTGATTCCTTTGCACACCTTTCAGGGGGAAAAAAAAATCCTTGATTAATAAGGTAACATTTTTGAAGACAAAAACAGAAGCAGAAACTGAACTCTTGTTAGTAAAATCATGAGCAATTCTATGAGCTTCAGCAATTGCTCATGTAGCTCTGGCAAACAACTTCAAATGAACTTACATTTGCCTTAGGTCGTCCGGTACATCCATTCTGACTTTGAGGAACGTGTTTTTTGTAGCTGGCTTATTAGGGTTCACAGGTCGTAGCCTTTCTATTGTGACAATTTCATTGAAGGTAGCATCACAGGCTGCATATTCTATGACATAAAACTACAGAGAAGATAAAGAAATCATTTTAATTACATGTAAAACTGACTATCTTTCTCAATAGGTCTATCACTGCAGCAATTAGTATAGAAAATTGCTCAAATAAGAAGCTTAGCTTTATAAAATAATTATCAACTAGACAAGCACAAGAATATTATATTTACTAACAAGTTACATTAAACACAAAATAAGTAACAGTAAAAGTACATTCCATGCTGAAAGGTAAAGAAAAGAAATGCTCTGTTTTGGCTATGTTGCCTTTTTCAGGTGTCTTCAGGCTCCAGGGCCAAAGCTTAGTGCTGAAAGCTTGTTGGCAGAGTTCCCTACTCTAATGTTTTGAACATAAAGACCTTCTAAGATCAATTCCATAACATCACTTTGGTTCTATGTATGATTTGAGAAAAAAAAAGCAGTTTGGAAAATGGCACATCCTCAGCACGTCTCTTACCTCCCCCTTTACCATCCTGACGCGGGCCAACCACCATCCGCAGGGCTCTTTGTCATTGGCTCTGGAATACACCTGTTTCAAGAACAATGCAATGAAATTCAGAACGCCCCACTGTACAGAATTCACTACTCACTTCAAGACTAAAGTTTCCTAAATACAAATTTAGGGCAACAAATTTAGTACAAATACTTCAGATTTCAGAGGTGGGTCTCAGGAATATTTTACATGATCACAGTCTAATTTGCATTCATCACAAGTCTTTCTTCTTACTCACAAGAAACAAGCTCTCCAGACACATTCCACACACTTTAAATCACTCACTTGCTTGCTTAAATGCACACATTCTACTGAACTCAGAAACAAGGAACTAAACTTCCTATGACATGTATATCCTGTGTTTCATAAGAATCTTGCTGCAGGACACATGAATAGTATTATTCATTTTAATACAAGCTAATATTGATAAACGGGCAAGTTAATGTTTTGTGTATAAGGTGTATTATAATAAGCTCAAGAAATCTTTATACCCCCTTTCACTACAGCAATGCAACTCACATTAAATGATAGGCAGGTGAAAGCAGCATTAATTTCGGAAATAAAACTGCACTAAAAATAGTATTTCACTGCCCCAGTATTTTAAGAAACAGAAAAATGTGTACAATGTAACTAATACTGCTAGTATAATGTAATCGACGCAAAAACAACTATAATCTAGTCATATTTTCTTAATTGACCCCTTTGCACGCCATTAATGGGTTGCTACGATGCTCTGTACAGTTTAAGAGTAGGCTAATCATGCCAGCAGCTGCACCACATTCTGCAGAGGAAGGTCCTTCCAAATATCGACCAAAAGTCTCTTCCGTGTGGGAGTATTTCACTAAAAAAACAGACAAAATGGTTGTTTGTTCGCTATGTAAAACAAAGACGGTGTTCCACAACAGCACTAGTTCCATGCACGAACACCTGAAGAGGAAACACTCTGGAATTATTGCACAGGACAAGACAACAGTACCATATGTAACCCATTCACACTTGTTTAGCCGTCCCGACAATTGTTTTGTGAAGCTGATTGACTTGAGAGATTGATGCTAGTGACTAGGGTTGGGACAGAATTTAGAGGCACGATATTTCTGGTACAGTCGGTTAGTCAGCTAAGTACACTTGCCACCTTTATAATGCACGAGAGCACTGTAAATAATGTTTCGATAGGCTAGCTAAATACCATAGACTAGTGTGCTAAATGCACTTGCTAGCTTTATTACGGGCAGAGAAGCATATTCACCCTTTCCTCCTAAATGTGATGAGGACAATAACAAATACCAGTAATTTAAAAAAAAAAGATTGCTCCTTGTGCTGACATTGCCTTCGAGCCTGTACCGGAGTCTGCTGCGCCAAAATTAACTGTTACAGAAATGTTTAACTTTTCATATATATAATTATTTCAGGCATGGCGGCTCCAAAGGTATAGTATATTTGTTCCACTTCAGTCTTCTCTTCAAGAGATATGAGTCGCTGTCCCCTGCCCTATGCTTTCAATTGGTATCATTTTATACTTTACAGACATTATTTAGCCTCTTTATGCCTTTTCAACAAGATATGTAGCCAAGCCAACCCCCTCGGATTCAGAAATATAACCTAGCAGCTGTATTGATGACATCTATGAATAAAGATGTAAATCACAATTTAAGATGGAAAACATTAATATGCCTACTTGCATTATTTGGACAAAGTTAGTTGTTAAATTAATAGATTAATCGATAAAAATAGTCGATAGATTAATCGTTTACAAACAAAAGTTAGTGGCAGATCTAGTTGTTTCGTATTACATAATTTAAATTCATTTTTACTTTAGGTATTATTAATTTTATAACTTTCTGTTTATTTTCTATATTGCTCTGGATAAGAACGTTACTTCTTGTATTTTTGTTAACTTCTTTATCAAGAAAAGTGAAAAGTGATTCAATAAATCAGTAAATCAAGGAAGTACAATAAATAATGACAATAAAATAAAAATAAAACAACAGTAAGTCTAAGAACAAACCTGGAAGTGCAACATACATAACAAACAGAAGCAAAACATTAACCATACAGTGTGCATACCATCATTAATGTGACCACTGCTGAATGCTGTTCTGGATACTGCGATCAAGGGATTGTGCATAATTGTGTAAAATAATCTGTTGCCTTTGGACAGGCAAATAAATGCACTAGGAACAGAACTGCACTTATAATGGTTCTCCATATTCAGTGTCAAATGAAATGTCATGTTGAGTTATTGTTAAAACTGCCATTAATAGGTGAGAAAAAAGTAGTGTTTTACGGTTTTTCATTATGCTTTGGCAACAGAATTCTCATTTGCATAAAGTTTAAAATTAGAATGGAAATGTTGAAGAAGATCCCTTACTTTTGCAGGATGTGCGGTTTCTCTGTATTCCCATTCAGAGCCCCTGCTATTTACAGCATTTCAATCCACAGCACAGCACAGTCAATCTGAATGATTTCAACACTGAAAATGACAAATTTAACTCTAATGTAGATTGAAAGTACTTGTCCATTACTTACAGCACATACCTCTACTTCATCACTCTCATTTATTTCTTTCTGAAACCCTGAAGGAGGGGGAAACCGAACATCGTGGAAAGGAATCTGTCTCTCTGGTTGCCAACTGAAAGAAACAAAAGCAGGGCAATCCATTAAATTGCAGGCAGACTGGCATACGTGCATAATAACCAATGCACTTGCTCAAGGCACACTTTGAAAAACTGTAACCTCATAAACAGGTGTTCAAGAGGCATCGTTTATGCACTGGAAAACTTAAGAATACAGGTGTTCTTTCTATACATGGCTGGATTCTCTTGAGAATTCCAATTGCAAACTCAGTGTGAAGATAATGATAAAAGAAAAGAGAAAACAAAGCCTGTACAGTTATCCTTTGCAGAATAAATGGAACAACAGCATGCATGTATGCCTATGTTATTACACTAAGTAAATAGTTTGTAAGTACTAAGTGCATTAAACTAAATACTTTATACAAAGAATTTTGTTCATTTGCTCTACTTTACAGTTTTGCTGTTGTTACAGAATAAAATACTGGTGTTTGCATTACTCAATCAGCAATAGAATACAGACACGTCACTAAAAACTCAAAAGAAACATCAGTTAACATGCAGGTTCAGAAATCAACATGAATTTTGTGTTTAAGCATGTAGTATACAATTAAAACAAAAAAAATTGGGCACAAAACACAAAAGATTTTTATAGAATGTAGTTAAATGAAAGTAGCTAAACAAATTCACAGGTAGAACTAATTTAACAATCCTAGCAGTGCACATATGTTGCAAATACAGACCTTTCTTAAATCTTGATAAAAATAGTCAAGTATTTTATTATTATTTTTCCTCACATTGAACACTGAATTTAAAACTTTTATACACATTACTGACAAACACATTCATAACAAAACAATTTACACAAGCTTTATCCTGTTGCTGTGTTAGGATGCAAAAACTGCCTTTAACACATTGGGATACTAAAGCATATGGATAATTGTTTTTAGAAAATCTCCAGATAAATTGTGCCTTTCAGTACATTCCTCTGCATCTAAGATGAAGATGTCTTCATTCCACACATGACAGCTACACCAAAGTGGCACTGTGAAACTACAGATTACTTACTTATTTTCAAATGTCACCGTGACAGAATCATCATGCACATCCTTCACAAATGCCTGAAAGAAGACATTTCATCGCTGGTTAAAAAATGGGTTTCACAAATTTGTCCACTGAGGTTTCTTTGGTTTTAAAAATGTTTTTAGACTTCTACCACTACACCCCTTAAGATGAAACTGTATTGATAATAGTTATGACAACACACCATCTTTTTAATTAACAGCATTCTCAGGAAATAGTTTCACCAATATTGACATTCAATCAAAAGACAAGGCTCCTCTGTGTCTTACCACTGGACTAAAGCACTAATACTTTCTTTGTACATTTTTTTTTAAATTTGTTGTAGGACAATGTTGCATACAGATATGAAAAGTAAAAATATATATGCTCTATATCATTTTTACAGCATGACATGATAATTAAGATACCACTGCTCTATATGTATAAGCATCATTGTATCAACATCAGTTATCAGATTATTGAAATTTATAAATGTAGCAATGTAACAGCTTTACAGTGTCTTGACATGCTCTGCTGAAAACTGACAGCCTATGTGTATTGGGACAGTGGTCTTCTTTTGCCTTTGTTTTATCATGAACTGATATATCAAGAAGATATACTACAGAAAATACTTTAATATTAGTGGTTCAACAATTGTGAAACTCTGAAAACTTTCTATTAGAGAGATAAAAGTTTTTTTAGCTTCCTTTTATTCCCTGGCCCCCAGAAAACCATTTAACCACGGGTTACAACCGCTGCTCGCAACAATAACAGTACAGTCGTTTCTATCAAGCACCAACAGAAAAGCATGAGAATTCAATTAAAAACACGCCAGAAGCTCAGTTCTGACTTATAACGTTAACGTGCATGTATTGCGTGTGAGCGAGCGTCAAGTGTGAGCGACAGGAGACAATTCCACATCCACTCCACACTGCAGCCCCTGCGGCTCTTAAAGCCTAATGCAGCTGCCGCGCTGGTATTCGAGTTCTCATTCCTATGGATTAGCGTGGACACCACTGGCAAAAAGGCAACTACTGCAGTTCACTCTCTTTAAAACTCTTTAGTTAACAGAAGCAGAGCATGGAGCTAAAGTCGCCGATTTAGAGCGTGGCTTCACCAACAGACGTAGGTGCGATGCACATGTTACAGAAGAGACGCCTTTAAAACACCAGCACATTTTCATGCAGACACAGTAAATGCATGATGTGGTGTATATTAAATAAATCATGCATTGTTGAAACTGCATTACAAAGATAAATGATCTTATACCGGTTGTAGTCCAAGCTGTTGCACTACTGACACTTTACTTTTAGAAAAATAACTTGATTCAACTCCCCCACATTGTAACATGAAAAGTAACAAAGCGGCAAATAAAGAGTGAAACTTAAATAAATGAAGCCGTGAGTAAAATGTGATGGACTCCACACGCATGAAATACTGCATCATTATAAGGTGGAAATAATGAACGACACGTCGAGGGGTTTCTGCGCTCCGTTGAAGCGACTAAACACCATCAGCTCAGCGCCCTGGAATGGGAGGACTGGCTGGGGGGAATGAGTCCGATTTTGTAACTTAAATCCCCCTTTTGCAGAAAAAGGGCTGCAAAAACGTCCATCCTGAGTGCGCCTGGCGATAAACAGCGGGAGAGACGGGCCTTGTCTGAGGTCTAGCATCCACAGCTCTGCCGGATCAGGGCCTACACGGGTGTTTGAGATGTGAGTGCAACACAGAGGACCCCACTGGCCCGCACCTTTGCACGATCGCCAGCAAGCGCCAGCTGAGTTAAAAATGACAACAAAGCAGCCGCTAGCGCGGACCAGGCCTTTGCTAATCTCCCTACCTTATAAAAGGCTCCACTTGTTCCTCGGACCTCCACGGCTAACTCTTCCATGACTGTTGCAATTAAATGCAAAAACGGCGAGCGGGTCGCTTCGGTCCCTAGAAACGCCCCCCCTGCAGCTCTCCTTCTCCGTCAGTCTGCCTCTCACTGCTGCGAAACCAAGAGTGTTTTTCTCCCCACTTTTTCTAAAGAAATGAAAGTGAAACATTCATATCTTTTCTTCGCACAGTTCGCACCAGCTGCTCCTAAGCGCATTGATGTAAACACAAGAGCCCCCCCCTCGCCCCCGACACGTGATCAGGGAGCGCTCCGCGGATGCACGTCTTCCCCTCGTTCCCATCCGAGCAAAGAAACTGAGTCCCTTCGGGTCGCCATTTTGACTCTATTCCCGTTTCACAGTTACGTCATGTCGCTCTTGAATGGAGTCAAAATGGCGCCAGTTTCATGGCTTCCTTCAACTGAGGGCAAACCCGACAACGTTAGGAACCAATCAGATTACGGAACGCTCCACCGTCCGAAACCCAGCCAATTACAGCTGAGAACACTGACCAGACGTCCCCTCTCCAATACTTTGACTCACGAGGGAGGCCTTGCTGGCCGACGGTTGCTATGGCAATGATAATTTTTAGTTGGGTGTGTCCCATTCACAACAACCCGGCGTCTGGGGAGACCCGTCCCGCGTGCGGGAGAGCAGCAGCATTACTGTGATACAGGGGACCAGGTGCACTGCATTTAAAACATGTCATTCTTGCTTTCGGATCCGTTTAACCTAATTGTTGTAGATTTTTAGTTACTGTAAAGTACAATGCCTACACTGGAATCAATACTGATTTCCTAACGATTAAAAATAAACCTTTCAGGGTGACTAGAATGAACTTCCCCACAGTCCTCATCAGAGGATGTGCTGTGAAGACAAAGCTCATGCACAGGCGAGCATGCAGCCTGCCTCCACTCACAAAGCATGAGAGCCCTGCGGCAGGTGACGGGTGAAAAGACATTAGAAAACAGAAAAAACAGGACAAGCTGCCTGTCTCGTGCTATAACGTCCCATCGTAGATGGGGCATTAGAAATGTAGACTGGGACTGGAATTAAATTAATATCTTTACTTAAATTAAAAACAAAAAGGAGAACCAAACTACGCAACAAAACTCAAGATATAACTCTACAGATAGAGCCTTTTGTTGTTGTGTCGATTTTAAAATGTATAGAGAAGGAAAAGGAACAAGTAATAGGTTTATTCCATGCTGAAAAAAAAGAAGAAAGAGAACACAACGTTTTGGCCGTGGAGCCTTCTTCAGGTGTGAGAGAGACAGGGCAGTCTGGGGAGACCGGAAAAGTCTGGGGAGAAGGAAAATACCGATATTCCTTATTCCTATAATAAAACCATTTGCATTTTGAATATTGTAATGGCAATTATTGACAATAGTGATAATACAAGAGAGCATGAATGAAAGCTTGGTAAGACTTGCTCTCTTTTGTGTTCAGTGAGGAAGCTTGCACTCAGACTCTAACAAAACTGAATTTTAAATTCGGAGTGTTTTGAGAACAGTGACACAAAGCTGTCCTGTGTCTGATCCAGCTTCCTTTCAGTGGAGGCATGGTGTTGCCCACGATATGCCAGCAGACTTTTAATCAAGCTGACATACTTATTTTCTCCTCCAAAAGTCTCTCCTGCTTGTGGTACTGTAGGTCATGGTGCATTTGTTCTATAAATGCATTTTCTTTAGTAACAAAATGTGTCTGAATTAGAAGAGTAATACTACCGCAATATCCAAAAAAGAAATATATTTGCCAAGAACAGAAAATATATTTAAATAAACTCTTAAACAACAAATAAAAACATTTTTAAAATAAATGTACTAAATATTATTCACAAGCAACTAAACATACTTATTAACAGGCATATTGTTATCTTTTTTTTCTGATATAAGCAGAACATGGTTTATAATAAGAAGCGGAACAGAGTGTTATACAAATTGAAGAGCAGCACACAATCTCTCAGATAAGGGATCTGGAACGGGGAGGAACTATTCCAGCTTCAGCCTCCAGGGTGTGAGCATCAGAGCAGCTAAGCCACGCTCCTGGTGGAGTAGGTAATAATATATCAGTAGAGGGCTGAGTGTGTCACACGCTGGGAAAATGTTACATTGCCAGAAGGGGCAATAAATGTACGTGCTTTTAACAAGAAGGGAAAGTAAGTTATTGTCATTCCAAGATGTGTTACTTCTTGGAATGTACCAGAGTAATTTATTGCCTGGCCAAGCCTGGAGCGCACCTGACTGTGTCTCTTATGACTTCGATTTCCACTCTTCAGCAAGAAGCTGACACATACAAGTACTTAATATATGTCCATGCTCTGTATATCTAGAATATATACATACTTTCCCCCAATAAATAGTATGTATATATTTTAGTATAGGAAGACGTATAAATGAACTAATGTTTAATGTATTGCAATTTTGTGTTCTGTCTCCATGGCTGATATTAAAATGATTCAACAGAATCTTGTTTTGGGATGACTCACAAAGTATGATTGTTTTTAGCTGGATGCACAACATTGGATTTTTGCCTGTTGGTTTAAAAATAAAAGTAATTCTAAATTAAAACAATAAGAAAATATAATATTCTGGGAAACACAAATTTAAAATAAATGTTTTAATCTTTACATTTCAGATGTAAAGTAAATGCACATGTTTATGATATAGTACTCATGTACAGAAATATATATTTTTTGTCATAATGAGAAAAAATAACTATTTTCCCCTTCCTAAGTTTTTTTTTAGTGAACTTGATGTCTCAGACAAATTACTAAATATATGTTAAAGGGAAATATTAATACTTAATTGATACTCATTTTCACTTTTTAGTCTGTCACTTAAATATATTAGATTAAATTTATAATTTCTTTATAGGGGACGTACAGTATACATTTTTCACAAGCAGCATGATGAGCCTGTAGTCTGATCTCACCAGAGTTCTGGAGCTCAGTGGCTGAGCTGGTCAGTACTGGAATTGAAACCAGACAGCTGCTGTCCAGCTGTGGTACAGAAGCTGGTGGAGCAGCACCTACAGTTCCAGACCAGAACCACAGTGTTTTAATTGGGGACTCTGTGCTGCAGGAATTGCCGTCCCTCAGATTAAACGTTAAGCCGAGGTCCTAACTATTTTATCATGACATATTCCAGGGTGCTGTTTGTGTGAATGGATGTGTTAACCCCAATGGCTTTACTAGATTGTGGGCGGTGCGGTGGCACTGTGGCTCAGGATCTGCGCCTGTGGCTGGAAGGCTGCCAGTTCGTATCCTGTGGCTGGCAGAGGAATCCTACTCCCTTGGGCTGCTGAGCAAGGCCCTTAACCCCAACTGCTCCAGGGGTGCTGTATAAATGGCTGACCCTCCGCTCTGACCCCAAGCTTCTCTCCCTGTCTGTGTGTCTCCTGGGGAACAAGCTGGGGTCTGTGAAAAAGACAAATTCCTAATACAAGAAAATTGTATATGGCCAATAAAGTGACCTTATCTTATCTCTAGATCCTGCTCTGGACTCCCCAAATTTTCCCCTCGTTGCAACTGGTGAAACAGTTTTGTAGTGTAGTGTGTCATCCAGATGTTGTACTTCAATGGTGGATGGAGTGCATTTCCTGTTAAAATAACAATAATAACAACAATGATAATAATAAAATCCAAAACTAGTGCTGATGATTGTTTTAGCCATGCAATGCAATGTCTAGAACAAAACGACAATAAGGCACTCTTAGTTTTCTAAACTAGTTCAAGTATGGAGCTGTGTCAGCATGCGTAGTCTGCAAAAGAACAAGTAAAGGTTTATTCCATGCTGAAAAGAAAAGAAAAGAAAAGAAAAGAAAAGAAAAGAAACACGTTTCAGATGGGGAGCCTTCTTTGGGTTTCAGGTGTTTCTTTTCTTCTGTTTTCAGCTTGGAATAAACCTGTACTTGACTGTTTAGTTTTCTGTGATAAAGAAAGATTCAATTGCACATTTCAATCACTAGATGTCAGTATAAACTCATCAGAAAATAAGTCGGCAAGGATCTCTTGATTTTTCTTTTATTATTGTATTTTTTAAGAGCAGAATTGAAGAGAAATACATTTACTCAAAACGTTTAATATAATTTCAACAGACCTGAATTAGCCCTTTCTTAATATGAAATAAGTGTCTTATTGCCACAACATTAATTCTATAAATGGGGGTTTATTTTGCACTCAGTTTAATAAACAGCAGCAAATACCTATTGAAATAGGCACAGATCTCTATTACTCATAAGAAATAAAAGATGCTTTTGGAAAGTAATTTGCATAACATTATTTGTATAAACTCAATACTTAGGTTGTCAACGCACATGCCTGTTTTAACAGGACTTTAAGCCGTAGTTACTGGAATTACTGAATGTCACAGTTGAAGCTCCTGTGGAAGAAGAACATGAGGATCTATGTACAAAATAATTATGATTCATCTCTTGTGGTAAATAACTTTTGGTATTTTAATTCTTCTTCATTTATTTCTTGTGATAGGCATGATTTTTGGGGAATTCATTGAAACAGTTAATGATCTTTTGAGGGCTGCAGTTTCTTAACTCTTTACTGAGTTTTTGCATTTTCAGCCAGTTTAAAATGTTCTCAAAAGTTGTAGAACCATTAATTGCTCCTCTGTGTGAATTAGACTAAATGTAACTTGGCTCTCTTGCTCATTGCCAAGATAGGCCTGGGTCAGTGAACAAGATTGAACCAACTCTCAGGAGGCACAAGGTGGGCCACCTTTTAGAGTGATGTGTTTCTAGAAATGTAAAAACAGTTTTACAACATATATGAATTAATGCTTTTCTATATTTTATTTTTTTTATACAGTGTTTTTCAAAGGTGAGTGTTCATAAACTGTTCTAATGCTGAAGGAAAATTTCATTTCCAAAGCTTGATTTAATCACTACAGAGAGGTTATTGACCTTTTCTAGGTGTTTCTGTGCGAACGAAGAAGATTAAAGTAGAAATTTGTTAAGAGCATTGTACTTTCAGTTATCTTTCACAATAAAAGATTCTCATCATGTTGTCTTTGTACAAAGCAATGCAGAAATTTCAGAAATTTTAATGCATGAGTCATATTATTCAATATAGTCTTGAATGTGTAATAGTTAACCTAAAGTTCTCAATAGCTAAGAAGATGGAAGCCATGATGAAGCAGGGTAATTAAATCAATAGCTGAATCAATTCAGTTCAAAAGTATTATAAAACTAATGCTAATTAAGACTTCAGGGTGTAGTTAGGGGCTTATATTTTCAAAGTAAAGT